CATATCTTCTGGCAGATGTTCTGGCATATCTTCTGGCATATCTTCTGGCATATGTTCTGGCATATCTTCTGGCATTCCATCTGGCATTCTATCTAGCATATCTTCTGGCATATTATCTGGCAAATCTGCTGGCATTCTATCTGGCAAACATTCTGGCACTTTATGTGGCATATCTTCTGGCATTCTAGCTGACATTCTATCTGGCATACCTTCTGGCATTCTATCTGGCATATCTTCTAACATTCTATCTGGCATATCTTCTGGCACTCTATGTGGCATATCTTTTGGCGTGGATACTCGCGGTTGAGGTCCGGCAGGAACACTGGGCGTGGATGGTCGCGGTTGAGGTCCGGCAGGGAACACTGGGCGGGGATACTCGCGGTTGAGGTCCGGCAGGGAACACTGGGCGTGGATGGTCGTGGTTGAGGTCCGGCAGGGAACACTGGGCGTGGTGGTCGTGGTTGAGGTCCGGCAGAGAACACGTGGATCGCGGGTCGCAGTTGAGCAAGGACGACGAGGACGACGAGGAGGACGAGGAGGACGAGGAGGAGGAGGAGAGGAGGACGAGGCAGGAGGAGGCGGAGGAGGAGGAGGAGAAGGAGGAGGAGGAGAAGGAGGAGGAGGCAACTGACATAAAATCTAACAACCCTCACCTGGCAGGTGGGGAAAAACAATCAATGGTTAAATGGTTGGTCTATTGCCCCTCTATATATCATTGTAACATATATATATGTATATATATATATATTCATAATATATATATATATAAACATATAATATAATATAATATAAAATAATAATATAATATAATGTAATGCAATGTAATGTAATGTAATGTAATAATATATATATATATATTATAATGTGTATCATCTGATACGACACATCCACGGTGAATCGGAGTTGACCATAGCGACCTGGCAAATAAATGATGGCCACAATCATAGTTGGCTCACCTATAAACCAACTGCAGTCAACCATGGCAACTGAAAACCCACCATTATTTCATCAGTAAAATCATTTAGTTCAATGTTTTTCCCATTGAAAACAAGAAATTCAATGGGAAACCACCATGATTTTCCATGATTTTCCATGATTTTCCATGATTTTCCCATAGAATCCACCATGATTGAAAAATGATACCGCTGCCTCGAGCTGCTGTCGCAGGCGCTCCAGCTTCAGATGGGCTTCCGTGGCATCCTGCGGGCTGCAGATTTTTTGAGCGGAGTTGTGCCGTGGTAATATGGGTATGGATCAATACCTATTAATACCATTTTTCGGGGGATGAACATCCATAAATCCCAGCTATTTTGATGTGAACAGAAGGGGCACAAGGTTTTGACACACTGCCATATCAATCAAGACAACAACATCAACAAACACGTTTGGGATTCGAATGATGGGATTATGAATGGTGAAATATTGGGGAAAATAATGGTGAAATACATTGAATATAATGGTGAAAGAATATTGATGGTGTTATTGGGACTAGAATGGGATTCTACAAGGTGGTGCCCCCGTTCGAGAACCCTCAATTGGTTTATAATTAACTCCAATAACTATGGTTTTTGTTGGTGATATATCGATAGTTTTCATGGGATTACAAACCAACTTATAACTTTGGGGGCACCACCTTGTAATGGGATCAGAATGCGATTCTAATGGGATTATCCTGGGATTCCAATGTCATGGGATATGGTGTAATTAATATGGATATACTAATTGAAATTACAATAGATTGCTGGTTGGTGGTTTCAACCATCTTGAAAAGTATGAAAGTCAAGGGGAAGGATGACATCCCATATATGAAATGGAAAAATAATCCAAATGTTCCAAACCACCAACCAGATTTTAGTGTTTCTACAAAAAATACGGTTAATGTATGATGTAACTTTCTGTTTCATCACTTTCGATTCATTAAAACATCGATTAAAACAATACAAAAAGGTACCCCAGTAGGTCCTTGGGAGGGATCCATGAGATCCTGGTTCATTTTTTTACAATGAGCGAATGGCTTCATGGCATTTCATGGCTTCAGGACCGCGATATGGAAAAATCGAAAAGGTCTCGATCCCCAGAAAATGCATATCATGTTTTGCTTGGCAAATCTCCAAGTTCTGCTGATGACATCCGTGACTTTCCACTCGCAAGATTAAGACTCGGTGGGTTTCCACTGTCGCGGCCTACCCCCGAAATGCGACCCCCCTAAATGCAGCGCTGCATTCCTCTTCAGTGGCAGAGCGTTTTTCCGACCTGATCAAAACCGATCACCTGTAACCTGTATTCAAGTGTTTCATATTCAAAAAAACATTTGTAACATATCATAAAATCATATTATGTCAGGGTCTTCTCTTCCAAACCCCGTGCGGTTAGTCTGAAAATTTAAGGGACAACCCTAAATCCACTGGTTGAGTCATCATGTTCTTTACTATTAAATTGCATGTCAATCTGCCATTCCATTTGTATCCTCGGGCAATCAAACATGACAATAGAAAGTCCCTTATTTCAAGTTGCCATTTCAATCTGCCATGACCATTTCGGGTCCCCACTTGCAGCCACGCGACGAGATCTCTGCCGAGTCGCCCTGGTGCCCGCGGCCATTAGGCGCTTGGAGTTATCTGAAAAGATGGTACCTCCAAAATCCGAAAGTTGCTGGTTAAGAATCATCTTCCCATACTTTCCACAATTTAACTTGCCATTTTTACGGATCCTCTCTATTTTTCAAACACATCCATTACACCAATTGTTGATGAAACTGGCACCTTTTTGCCGCAAAGAATTGAGGCCATGGCTGACTGTGGTAAACCCAATAATCCACCATCACCAATTTAGCCAATCTTACTCTTACCATTTGTTGAATACATAAAAACATCAAGAAACGATAGGCCACTTATGTCTTTCCTGTTGGGTTTACCACATGATGGCTCAAAGCTGCGTACCTCACAATCCAAAATTCCAATCCCTGGCCCGCCGTTGAAAGTTGGCTAACCCTCCGATCAACTTATAGATACCCTGACAAACAAGAACATAACATATTAGTTGTTTTTGTTTGTTTGGTACGAACTAAAGTGATGAAACGTAGCTATTGCCCCATTCCAAATTCAACCAATAGAATCCAATAGAAACAACCCTCCACCAGTTGGTTCCCCTAAAACTTCTGGCACCCGGCCTGTGGCCCTTCATCCACCGGTAGATCATTGCTGGAGAAAACCACCGGTGCATCTGCCCGTTTGGCGCAGCAATATGGTGCATCAACTTGGGCCCCTGGGACACTGGCTTTTGGATTTGAATATTATAGCGTTTTCATTTTCGGTCCATTCCTCCACCTTCCGGGCAAGCGGGCGAAACGACGCAAATGCGCTCTGACTTTGTGATGAAATGCCCTTTCTAGAGACAGGTGCATAGAGAGAACAAAACAATGTGAATGATTGAATGGTCATTGCTGATATCATGTAGGATGAAACATCAAATTGACATACTGAACAGAATCTTGGTACAACGCCGTCCTATTCTGCAGCCGTATGCTACATCAAATCAACATTACCCTCTGGTAAACGTTTACATAACCATGGATAATCACCATTTTATAGCTGGGCACATCCACTATTTCGACTGGGCCATTTTCAATAGCTTTTTGTATGTTTACCAGGCCGGGTACATACACCGGGCGGAGGGCAGCGGAGGGCACCTGGGAAGCACACGGGTCGCGCGCTGCTTGCTCTGGTTGCCTCGCGCCAGTGGCGAAGGCCGTTGGTCATGGCCTTCCAGCATAGACCTGGTGAGGTGAGATGGAGAATCAAGTGATTTGGGAAATAAAATATCAATATACCCTCTGGTAAACTAACATAGTTATGGAAAATCACTATTTTTAATGGGTAAATCCACTATAAATGGCAATTTTCAATATATATCTATATCTATATCTATCTATCTATCTATCTCTCTCTCTCTCTATCTATCTATCTATCTATCTCTCTCTCTATCTATCTATCCATCTATCCATCTATCCATCTATCCATCTATCCATCTATCTATCTATCTATATATATACGTATATATATATATGAATATGTGCATTTATTTGCATAGATACATGCACAAATCAAAACTGGTGTATAAATACAGAATGTAAAAACGTAACAACATAGTGTGCATCATATATATATATATATATATACTTAAATAGTTGTTTAACATTTATTCACATCAGTCAATAGGATGCACATATAAATATAAACTATCTCAATCAAAAACAAGCATAGGGATCTACCATAAATCCATCAATCATACCACCAACACCATGCTTTGGCTCGCTGCTAACGTTTAGCCACTTCCCTGTCCAGCTCTGGTTACGCACCTTCGCTCTCTGGAGGCCTCGTTCTTGGGCAAGTACCATGAGAATTCATATGAAATGCATATGATCTCTATGATGGCTATATCAGGCTATATTAGTGATTTGTGTGTAAATAATTGTAAATATACCCACCTGGCCGGGGGTGCCGCCCAGTTCATCATGTGACCAACTCTTTATAGGGTTTGTTTAGGGTTTCATTGAGGGTTTCTTTTATGGTTTTTAACATGGTTCAATAATATTTTACTTTCAAGGCTTACTTCGGGTGTTATGTCAGATTTAGGTTTTGGGGTTTAGGATTTTATGTTTTGGAACCAAATCTCGTCAGCCATTTGGGCAATCCGACTACATCCCAAAATGCAGAAAACACTGGCCCTGCGCTGTCAAAACACACTTCCTCGGGCAGGCCGCACATATACATAATATAGTTGTAAATAATGTGTGTATCTATATATATATATATTTATTAAATAATAAATATATATATACATTATATTCTACAGTCTGAATGGTTTCCCCAACAAGAAAACCACATGGTACATTTGACCATCACTCTCTGGTTTGGTTGATCAATTTTGAGTCCCTGAGACCAGGCCTGTGTTTCCAGCCGCAACCTTCCCTGGATCACAAGCTTCGCTTTGCTGCAGGACTTTTTTCCTCCGCATGCGTGGCAGCCATCCACCACTTGCAAGAAGGCCTTGTCGGCGATGGCGTGCCTCTGATGCATGGCTTGTCGCCTTGTCGAGCCCAGCGTCAGCAAATCAGCCCAGCCGAGCGCCACAGCGCTTGCGGCCCATCAAGTCTGAACGCGCCAAGCTCCTTGGTGCTGCAGCTCTGATCTTCATGAGGCGCAGGCCAATGTATCCAAGCCATGATCTTCACCAAGCCACTGCCTTCCTGCAACTTGCCTTGGTAGCAAATGACGGATAGGGAATTGGATGCTTTCTGATGGTCCCATATGGGGGGTTCCATAAATGGGGTACCCCAAAATGGATGGTTTACAATGGAAAATCCTATTTAAATGGATGATTTGGCGATACCCCCATGTATGGAAACCTCCATATGATTCTATTTGTCTGCGCTGACGAGATTGGATAGCCATGAAATGTTGGGTGATTCTATTGCTATGTTTGAAGATGGACAATACAGGGATGTCGGAGCAATCGCACCCAATCCAAAACATTACAACATTATCATTCTGGTAAAAGCATGTAAAAACTTGTTTGAATTCATGAAATGACCTTGGAAAAGTCCCGAACCTCGATGTGCCAACTCCCAACTCTTTCTGTGGTATAGCTGGCTCCCGTACGGGTCAAACTACCAACATTGGCTGGACTTTGACCAACTTCCACCAATATGAAGTACCACATGCGATATGGGCCCTCAAATGCTTACAGAGCTGATGCAGCGAAAATCATAGCTTCAAGTTGGATATGGAGCAAAAATATGCACACATCCCCACCTTGAAATTTCAATCATTGAGTCTCAACTGATGACTTGCAAAAGCTGAGTGAGAAATTGATTTGGTCACAAGGTGTCCTCAGAAAGTATTTCGCCTTTACATTTCTCTGAATTTCTGCAAGGTGGTGCCCCCCCCACCAGTTATAAGTGGGTTTATAAACCGCATGAAGTATATATATATATATGTCTATATGGATATATATATATACATCCCCTATAAACATCTATAAACTATAGTTATTGGATTGATAAACCAACTTGGCTGAGCTATCGTTTTTTTTTTGGGGATCATCTCCAACGAGTTGGTCTGAACATGGCGTGCCCTCCCCAAAAAAGGATGGTTTTATCAGTTACCATCTGGTAATTTAACAGTTTGCTATTGAAAACAACCATTTATAGTTGATTTACCCATTAAAAATGGTGATTTTCCATAGCTATGTTAGTTTACCAGAGGGTAATCATGATTAAAGTCATACCACATATGATTATCTGATAAACAGATGATAGCGATTGAACATAAACTGATAAACAACTGATAACGGTTAATATGATTATCATGATAATAATTGACAAAGCTGATAGTGATTGATGAAACCATAACATTGATTAATCATGATAGTCTGATAGTCACTGATAAGCTGATAAAAACATAATATTAAGATTATACCAGAAGGGAAATGGGAAAACCATCTTAATTATTAAACTCATAGAGATACCATTTTCCCCTTTGAACTTCATATTAAGATATATTAAAATGACATAACAGGGCCACAACTTGCGGAGCAGAGAGTATTTTCAGAGGTACCCATTTGCCAAACCCCGGGAAGACAAGCTGGGATACTGTTAAGATGGGTAATCGTGGAGCTCGTTCTTGATCCAAGGGCATTCATCCATCAGGCAGTGGTCGCCGTTGTCGGAGAAGCAACTTCTCCTGCCGTTTAACGGATGCAAATCAGGTTGCTGGTCAACCTACCCCTCTGAAACATATTATATAGTCAGTTGGGATGATGACATTCCCAATATATGGCAAGTCATAAAAGTATATAAAAGTCATGTTCCAGTCACCACCAACCAATATAACCATCATATTCCCATTGTTGTTGGTTTATACCCTATGAAAGCCATGGTTCCAGTCACCACCAACCAGAAATGCGATGATCATTCCCTGCAGCAGTTTGCCATTTGGGTTCTGATTCTGCTTGTCTCTACTGGGTAACAGGTTGGCTGAGAGCTCGAAGCCTTCAGCCCAAAGACCAGGATGTGGTCGATCTGTCTGTTGCTTTTCAGACCATTTCCAGCAGTTTCCCCACTTTAACTATGTTTGACCTAAGAAATAAGAGCAACATGTGTTATTTATTTATTTATATATATATATATATTGTGTACGACATTAAATTACGATCTAACACAAAGGTAGCGTATTGTATTATATTATACTACATTATATTAAGGCATCATTAAGATATTATTCAAAGATTTATAAAGATTATATATAAATACATATATATATATATAACCCTCCGGTAAATTAACATCGACCCTGGCAGATAGGAGTTGGAAGACTGGCTTCCACTAAAAATTGCTTATTTTCAGGGTCCAACTGTTAATTTACCAGCGGTTAAGATATGGTTCTGACTCAAAACCCTGGTACCTAGTGAACCCTAAGTCATAGCTGGTATAGCTGGATGTTCATCCCACTATAGTAATGTATCTATAGGTATTGACCCATAGCCATATATCAAAAACGTAGCTATTGAAAATGACCATAGATATAATGGATTTTCCCATTAAAAATTGTGATTTTCCATAGTTATGTTAGTTTACCCGAGGGTAAGATATATCAAAAACAAAAAAAACCTCACCCTAGCCGTCGCCTCTTTGGAGGCCAACTCCTTCAGCTCTTTTAACAAGGCCTGCCTTTCAGAAATGGCAAGTCATGGAAGATCCCATGTCCATTGAATTAGCATCATATATATATATATATAATTAGATATATTTGGATATACAATTATATATATAATATACATATACATATAAATATAAATATAAATGATTATGTATATATATATATATGTGAAAGCATGTGTAAAATCATCAACCAATGTAATTATACCATTATATTATATATACACATATATTAAAGATATTATATAAGTATAATTTGATATGTTAGGTGAAACGGTGAAACTGTGTGAAATTATGAACCAGGTAAGGTGGCAGTCGGGTCTCAAAGCATTAAAAAAAAGGGGCAACTCATCGAAGTAACTGGGAGATTTTCCAGGTTTCAGGGCCAGAGGGTACATCAATGGTTCGAAAACAACACTAGAATTATGACTTTCTCTGCGGCCACAGCCCTACATACCGAAAAAAATGCCTGCAACATGGGGGATTGGATATTCTAGTGACTAGAATAATCGCGAAACATCCAAAAAGAGAAACTCCATTGAAAGAAATATATCATATGTTTATGATATTATATGTATCCATATTTTCCAGATTATTATTTATCATAAATATAACTGAAGAAAAACCTACACCTTTCCATGCGGCAAGAGCTTTTTCGCCGACCGCCGCGCTTTTGGGCTGATCAATCCTTGGGAGTTTAGATCTTGCTGCTTCCATGTTTCCCTACAATGTGAGGCCCCCAAGATAGCTAAGTTGGTGTATAACTCCAATAACTATGGTTTATAGGTGATATATCTATAGTTACTGGGGCTTATAAACCAACTTAGAACTGGGGGGCCTCACACTGTACCAATTTAAAGATTCGTTTTCCTTACATCTCCTCACTACCTGTAGTTTTAAGCTTTGTAAAACACTCATCCCTTGACTCATCCAACTGGACACCCAACGTTGCAGAAAAGCGCCGAGCCGCTGTTGCTTCATGAGGCCAATCCCCTTCATTTGCAGCTTCGCGAAGCCCCTGCTGCGACTCGGTTGGAGAAATTCGTTGGAGAAATTCATATGGAATCGTGGGATCTACAAGGTGGTGCCCCTCAAGTTATGTTTGTTGGTTTATAAGCCCCAGTAACTATAGATATATCACCAACAAAAACCATAGTTATTGGAGTTATAAACCAACTTGTATGCCCTCAGTTTTTGGGGCAAAGCCATCTTCAAATCTGCCCACTTTTGGGGTGGCAAACCTCTGTCGATCCCGGGATGAGTTCACCTCGCAAGAACATGGGATTTATGGGAAAATCTACAGGATGTTTCTTGGATTAGACCATCAAAATCCATCACATATATATATATAGGGATTTCCGGAAGATTTCCGGTAGATATTTTTCGAAATATTTTTCTTCGAACTCCATTGACAATTGTGCATGGTTGATATTGGTTGATTGTGTAAATTATATGGGGATATATGAAGGCCTCCTCTAAAACCAATGTTCCCTTGATGTCTGTGTCGATTAGGGTCTCAGCATCAACTAGATGGAAGACGGGTGTGTCGGTATCCTAAAATCTCATGGATCATAGTGTGCCTCCCCATTTTTGAAGGCCATTAAATGGGTCTCATGGTCTCCCTATTTTTGGATAAGCCCAACTCTTGAATTCGAGATTCCTCTTTCTTGGCTTACAAGACAAAAACTACAGGAAACCCATGCGTTTACCAGGCCAAAATATGCAAAACACTGCAACACTACAGGAAAAAATATGATGTTTCCCCCGAAACAATCCAGGCTTCCAACTGTTCTATGGCCCTCGCCTTATGTTGGGCGCGTCCAAGTCCTCCTCGTGCAAGTGATCATCCAATGGGTTGGAGATTCTGCAGTGAGGTGTTGGTTTGAGGTTCTCTTGTCGCGCACTAAAGTAAAAAAAAAGGTGCTCTGCAAATTGACAGAAACATCATCAACATGTATGGGTATGAGGGAGTTCCCAGATGACAACCATCAACACAAGAATAAGGATCTTTGCTTTGGGAATCCTCCCAGTAAATTTGTTGTGGATGGTCAAAGCTTGCGAAATCCAAAACCATTTTTTACTTTCTTTTGACGACTAAACACTGCAATCCCATGTTCCAAAACACAATCCACGCATTTTTAGGACAATAATTTGACAATAAACAATATCCAATAATCATCCATTTTTCTAATTATCATATTCGATGTATAAAACAATATATACATGTACATTTTGATCACCTATACCCATTCTTCCTGCTCAAGATCACCAGACCACACCCGCCATGTGTGTCCAGCAGCTCGCGCACCCTTCGCTCGATGGACTCTTTGCGCTTCAGCAGCTCCGACCGACACTGCTCCAAGACCTGCAGCATTCGCAGATCTTTTTTCTCCAGGGGAAATGCCTGGAACAGCCGGGTCATTGTTCCGTTCATCCGTTCCGAATGTTTATTTTTGTTAATTATTTTAGTATATTTTAGTTGGTTCTGACTATTTAAGACCTATTAAACGCACACAAAACATCACACAACACATGTTGCAGATTAAACAGTCAATATATCTCCAATGTTTTATTGGTTGCGTCTTGGGTTTGTAGATCTTTTCCAATTCTGATCCCTTCAGACTACCTTCCATGAGTAGGTGATTTCGAGGTTTTACGTGGCTTGAGTTTTACCGCTTGTTTTTACGTTAAATCTGCTTGTAATTGTTGCTAATCACGTCAGTTGGTGATAGTCCAACTTCCAGATTGGCTAACATCTGGATTCAGTTGTGGGTTGAACACTCTTCATTCATTTGGCTTGTATTGCAATTTTTGTTGCTTCATATTACCCATTCTGATCGGCCATATAGTATTGCCCATCTTGCACGTACATACCTCTTGCTTTTGCTCAAACGCTTGCCAATAATCTATTGATATTCATTGATAGTTCTTGATGAAATGTTCCCCATCTTGCAAACTATCAGCAACTATCACGTGGTTAGAAAACACAAACTAGTAGCTCCTTGGCAAATCATAATAAATATATATATAATTAAATATATATACTGGCTCCCCATTTAATTTAATAGAGATTTAATAGGCGAATATGGCGAGCCAGAGCTCCGACTCGCACAAAACCATTCGATGCCTCCACAATCTCCTGATCGCATGTCAGGTCTCGCATCTCCTGGGTCTCGGTTGGTCTGTTGAATCCGCTTGGATCCCCACGGAACCGCTCCATATAACTGGGTAGTAAATTATAATCTATGGATAGACAAATGGATAATCTATGGATAGACAAATGGATAATTTATGGATAATCTATGGTAAATGTATAATGTATGGTTAATGATATCTGGTTTGGTGGTAAAACAACCAACCCCTATGATTATGCCATGGTTAATATATGGTTAATGATGATGGTTATTATATGGTTAATGATGGTTAATAATAATACTGGTTGGTGGTTTCAACCAACCCCTCTGAAAAATCATGGAGTTAAAGTCAGTTGGGATGACATGACATTCCCAATATGATGGGAAAATAAAATTCATGTTCCAAACCACCAACCAGTAATATTTCACTAGCCTGAATTGTTGGGCCATTTGGGGATGATTTCCCGCAATCTAACCATGATTCCAGTGAGGGAGAACAGTGAGGTCGTTATACTTTACCCAGTGACAATGTATGGTATATTTACCTACATTGGGTGATGTTTTAGGATCTTAGGGCAAATGTTGGTAAATATTCCAGCACCATGGAGCATATGGGGTATGACAATTTAAAAACCATCAAAAACCGACAATGGAGAAACATGGGGATTTTTTTTTTGATGGAGATATGATAATTATGATACTATATATATATACTATATATATAATATATACTATATATAATGTTGACAATCATAGTATTTCGACATATTTAACGACATACTCCCCTAACGAAAGCCTGGTGGAATGTCTCGGATCCATACAGTCGAATTCCCAAAAAAACACGTGGATTTAGATTGATTTGGCATAGATACCCCAAAAAAAACAGTTGGCTCATGTTGGTTCCATGATCATATATGTATATAATCGTGTATATATATATGCATATATATATATATTATATTGTTTTAATGGGGATTTTGCATGATCAATGGAGGTTTTAACTACAATTGGGAAATCTCCAGCGCGATGTTTCACGTTGCCCCGGGACGTCCGGAAGTCCCTCAGGGATGATATCCCGTAGGATATCCCAGGATATCCCGCGCCTCTACCAAACCAGCCACCTGGCAATGTGCCAAAAATATTTTTCAAAATGATCCAAAATGGAGGTTTCCTGAGTCATAGGGCTACCCCCAGTCATCGTTTATAGATTTATAGATGGTATTGTCCATGAAATCAACCAAATCAACCATCCAGCGGGTTTCGCCCATTTCTGGAAAGCCCAAAAAATGGTTTCACGATATATTTCTAAAGCCAAAACCTGTGTTTTTTCTGCGAGCTTGATACTGTTGAGATAAATCCCGGGGACGGTCCTGGACCGTTGATATCGTTGACTGTCACAGGTCTCTCACGACTAGTTTGAAAGGGAAGCGGCCAAGCCATCTATGGCACAGTTTTGACCCAAACTCAATTCGAGGTGTCTGGAATCTGGAAACGTTCCCAAAAATGTTGATCATAGTGAGGGATCATATGGGATAATAGTGAGTAATCATGGCATCTTAGAGTTTTTTCCCCCTAAATTTTCAGACAGAGCCCAACTGGACCCCGAAACGCCGCCTGCGAGTCGATGGACTTTTGCAGCCGCTCCATCTGCTGCACGCAGTTTCTGCCGAACTTCTGGCGGTTTTCCTGCTGATCCTGATGCTCCCAGTCTAGCAGCTGTAGGGATCATCCCAGTCTAGCACTCTAACCATCTGAAAGTACACATCAATGATCATAAATGATCACAAATGATCATAAATGATCACAAATGATCATAAATGATCATAAATGATCATAAATGATCATAAATGATCACAAATGATCACACATGATCATAATTAATTAAATGTACATGTAGGCTCGTTCTGAGTTATACCCTGAAATACCTCATGTTCGGGAAAATGACGATGAACCATCTGAACCAGCCTGAAGGAAGCTGGAATGAATGCCGCGGCCCGAGCGTAAACGGCCCATGATGATCACTGAGATGCGAGGACCCAGGGGACCCAGGGCCTCCTGTCAGGCTGAAGCGAGCTATGGAAGTGAGTTTATATATCCCATCCATAATGCGGAAACAACCCACCATTTAAACATACAAACCTATTAGGAATCCATTGGTGTCCGGAACTGATTTACAAATGGTGGACTGTTAGTTTACTGGACGGGGAACCGAATAGAACCCCCCAATAGAAACCCCTGTGTACTGGGGGTTCTTGTTGATTGCATCACTGGGTGGGTTGAAGGGAAAACCTACAGTGTCTACCGTGTTTCCAGTCAAATAATGTTGTCTGACCAATAGTGATATCTTGTCAATAGTAGAAACATTTTTCCGCAACTCCAATTTTTCTCCAATACTAAAAGTCAATTAGCTCTATTTACTTTTAGTATTGCCAAAAGAGTCATGTTCAGACCTTGTCCAGAGGGCATGGCCAATAGTGGACCCAACATGGCAATAGTGGAAACTTTTTTCCCAACTCCAATTTTTTCTCCAATACTAAAAGTCAATTAGCTCCATTTACTTTTAGTATTGCCAAAAGAGTCAAGTAAAGCAAATCCTTTTCAAAGCAGCCTTCACTTTTGATTAGCAAAAGCTTAGATTCCAGAAATCTGATCCAATTACCAAACAGCTGATTTCCTTATAAAACCTTTATTAAAAAAAGCAAGAAAACAGGTCCACAAAGGGTACCCCCTTTGCAAGCCCCAGAATAGCAATAACAAACCTGCACCAGGCATGGCAATAGTGGAAACTTTTTTCCGCAACTCCAATTTTGTTGTCCTCCTTCTCCTTCTCCTTCTTCTCCTTCTCCTCCTCGTCCTCCTCCTTCGCCTCCACCACCTCTGCCCCCCGCTTCCATGTCCACTTCCGCCTTGCCAACTCAAATTTTTATAGGAAGGTTGACCCCCCCCCCTAAAAAAAATAAAAAAAATAGGGGGGGGGTAACTACTATTAGGCAGCCAACATTACTGCGGATTTCATCAATGCCAGAAATATACCACACATGGTGCATGCAATGTATGCATGGATATATCATGCATAATTGCTATGGAATAAAAGCCCGCGTGTTTTAGATGATTGTTGACTTCAAAGTATCATCAAGATCGCGTTTTTCATACGAGTACGAGTATGTATCGGTCATGTCGTTCTCATCCCAAGATTCATTGCCCAGCTGGGATATCTTTGGGATAGTTAGCTCCTTCATTCAAAATCAATGACTTCAATACGTCCCAAAAATAAGGAACTTCATTCATTATTTCACCCTTGTAAAAAAAACTTCTTCACAGCAAAAAAACACAGAAATCTGGGTAAATTAGAATAATTCACTAACCTGAATTAAGGATGATTTCCCTTATTAACCATGATTCCAGTGAGGTCGTAGTGAGGTCGTTATAATTTACCCAGAGAAATCATGGATTTTGGTCTCCATAAGACACCATCAATTCATGTCCCACAGAAATCATGCGCCTTCATGGGGTAGACGCCGTGCATGAAGTTTGAATCCACCGAGTGGTCAAAGGCAAAGATGTCGCCGTTGCGCTGCAGGAAGGACCTGCAGGGGGATGGGATGTTCATGGGATTTCAATGGAATTTAATGGACGTTTTATGGGATTTTAATAGGAATTTCATGGGATGTTAATAATGGGATTTTTCATGAAATTTAGTGAAGAGTATACTATATGATACAATATGATATATCAAATATCATAATCACTCATTCATATGTTTCTTCTTTAATACATCAACGACGTAGATCTAGAGATAGGTCCATAGAGAAAAAATCTGCAGATAGATACTCAGTGATGCTGTGATTTCTGCATCACATGGGTGGATCCAAATGGCTTAAAGTTGCGCAAGTTGCCCTCCAGAGGCATTTCATATGAGCAATGGGTAATATGATGATGTAATATGGTAACTTTTATGCCAAATATGATGAGTAATGAATGAATCATTTCAGATATAGAATATGATTTTTGTAAGCAGTAGTTTTTTTAGGATTCCAGACACGCCCAGAAAAATGCCATGGTCAAAATGTGGGCCATGGTCATCACACCATGACGGGATTTGTGGCCATAGATCCCTACGAGTGGTGGTATGAAAACCCCCAGTCTATGTGTGAATAAAATCCAACTTTTGAGTATAGTTGGTTAAATATCCCACAACGTATCCCCATTAATGTCTCATTCAACCCCGATGTTCAATGACTGCAACTAACTTGACTATGGCATCTATGGCACATTAATGTTGGCTAACCCCCATTTACCCATTTATATATATATATACACATACAATATGTCACTAATCTGAATGACACATACTGGGGATGATATCCCTGCAATTCACCATCATTCCAGTGACGGAAAGCCAGCGATCATTCAATCTGCTTGGTGGTAAAACAACCCCTCTGATTATGCCATGGTCGTTAATATATTGTTATTATATAGTTAATGATGGTTAGTAATAATACTGCTTGGTGGTTGAGCCAACCCCTCTGAAAAATCATGGAGTTCAAGTCAGTTGGGATGATGATTTTTCCCAATATGGAAAAATCATCCAGTCATGTTCCGAACCACCAAGCAGCAATTCTTAACATGTCTTAACCATCGATTCCGTGGGGAAATTATGGCCATCTAGCCCCAGTAACCAGTGATACCATGAGATCACGGCAAGGCTCCGCTCGGAGCCAGATTCGTGCTGGAAGGTGAGGTACCTGGCGGAGACATGGGGATTCCAACCATGGCTGGTTGGTGATACTGTTAATATACTGTTAATATACTGTTAATAATGGTTAACGATGATGGAAATTATATGGTCAATGATGGTTAATAATAATACTGGTGGTGGTTTCAACCAACCCCCCCTGAAAAATCATGGAGTTAAAGTCAGTTGGGATGATGACATTCCCAATATGATGGGGAAAATAATCCAGTCATGTTCCAAACCACCAACCATGGATTGGTTCTCTGGAGGAATGTTTGGACGAGATGATTGTCTGCATATGTTTTTTTAAACATATCATGGAAAATATGATGTAAGAATGGCAAACTCTGAATGTGTAAACCCCCCAAAAAATCATGGAACACGCTGCAAATGTTCCCTTTGATTCTGGTAAAGCAGGATGAAGAAACTTGACGAGCTGCAAGGCACGACAACGCATAATCAAGAAAAAACCGAAGATGTGTGCGCGCGCAAGATATATCACTTTCCATCAACTATATACATAAGTATATATGATAATTACATATGTATTATTGTATTCATATTAATATCTTAAAGTCACTATATAGATCCTTACTTTTCACCGTGTTTCACAACCAATCAAAGCGCCTGGCAGCCCCGAAGGAGGCGCCCACCGCGATGTTCATCTCCGCATGGCCGTCGTGGTGAAACTCGCAGCCCACCGAGCTGTCCTGGATCATGGGATAAACGATACCACTATGGTAACCATATGTCCATATTAATAGTGGTTAATTGTGATATTTTCATAAATCGATAATAATCGATATATAGCATATATTTATTATGTGATATTAACCACTATTAATATACTTGGTGGCGAACTACCCACGGCTCGTAAGTGGGTTAGTTCACCCCAGTGATTGAAGTGGATTGAGCCGCTCCAAAAATCCCATGTAAATCACTGGGGTTACAACCCACTTACGAGCCGTGGGTAGTTCGCCACCAAGTAACCCCCCCATCTGAATGGGGACTTGCAAGGTAGATCTCCGAAAAAGGCTTATTTGATCTTATTTTAGACTATGTTTAAAAAAAACAACAACACGTACTAAGTGGGATGATCCTCCAAGTAGGTTCCTCTGAAAAAGACATGATATATCTGGTATTCAAAGAAACATGTGGTGGGTTTTCCACACAAGAAACAAGTCTTACCTGGATTTGGGGGAGAAGAGGTTTGTAGGATTTCAGTTTTTTTGAATATGATTGGTATTCAAAGAACCATGGGAGAAGTCCTGGGGGTGAAGTTGCTGGCGGTTGATCGTTCTGGGATGTTCTGGGTTCCGAATCCTGGTAAACCAGGGGCAGGTTGAGTTTGGGGCATTGAAGGTCACTTGACTCGTGACTCCATCTGCAAACATCAGGATGGGTCTAACATTGAATCCACCATCTGACCACATCTTTGACATCTGGCTTTGTCTGAACATTGGGTGCCCCCCCAAAAAAACGCAGTTTACAATGATTTTCTTCGTTTAAGTTAAAGATGCACAACTTTGGGCATGCCCCAAGTATGGGAAAAAAATACATCTTGCTCCTCATAGACGTTGGCCCACCACTGCTGCATCTCGGCATTCACCACATCTGAAAGCTTCTGCAAGGTTTTTGCCTTGGCAAAAAAAAAAACCATTGCCATCTTGGACTGCCCAAGGTCTCATTCAACCGCAGTTCCCCCCAAAAAAAACCATGATACACTTCACACCCAGGTACACTCCAAGAAGAACATATATCTGAGTAAATTACAATAATTCACCAACCTGAATTGTTGGGCCATTTGGGGATGATTCCCCTTACTAACTATGATTTCCAGGGTTCGGGAGAACAGTGAGGTCTTTATAATTTACCCAGACTGGGTAAATTACAACGACCTCACTGCGACCTCACTGGAAATCGTGGTTAGTAAGGGGAAGTATCCCAATATGGTTTTATTTCAGGTTAGTGAATTATTGTAATATATGATACTGGTGCTTGTTAACTTTGGGATGCAGTTGATCTCAAGAAACACCGGTGCAGGTCGCTAGTCCCGCTTCACTACAGTTCTGCTATCCGCGCCGTGCTTTGCTGGTTTTACCTCCGCTCTTTCTACACACACTATATATATATATTATATATATATACTATATATATATGACTATATCACACTATGTCATATGAAATTCTGGTTGGCTCAAACATAGACATTCCGCTTCAAATCTGGCGTTGAATCTGAAGGTTTCCCCCGGTTTTGGTTGGATCCACACATATTAACGGCCTATGTTTGTTGGTCAAATCCATGGTAAATCTCCATTTCTTGCCAGTCTAAAGCCCCAATGTTTGCGAGTTAAATCATCGTCGTTTCGTGCAAAATACTCTTCCATTGCCGCTGAAAGCATGTGAAATACCAGGATTTCCATAGATTCCATAGTGTTGCTGTATAGATCCTTTTCCGTTGATGCTTGAAACAGCTCAAGACACGCTCAAATCCGATCCATTCCTACGAGGTTTTTCCAGGACAAAGGCACCAGGTAAGGCAGCTTGCGCCCGTCTGCAGCTTCCACTTGCTCGCTGCCCAAGCCATTCCTTCTGCCAGCCAAATGTGATACGGTTTTAGGAACTAAAAGCCACAAGGATAGGGGGATTGGGTTTGGTCCTCGAACATGATGTGGATTAAACCGACCATTTAGGGTGTTTTTTCTTGGGAGATAGATAATCAATGGATAGTCAGAGTGATAAAAAACATGGATTATTTCGGCACCCTAGTTTAAGACAAATTGACATTGTGATATTGTGGATGGGGTGACTATGGATTTGTCCAAAAATAGATTAGATAAAGGTTAAATGCGAAGACCACCACAGGTTCATCGATCGTGACTTAGGTGCCATGCTCTGTTTGTAGACACACCTATATGAAATTCAAAGAAAACTGTGCTAGTTAGATCTAGTTAGTGTCTTCATTCCATATATGAATATTGGAACTCTCATCCTGTTTGTTGGAAAGGAGATTTCGTGATATCCGAAACTGCAGAGCAGAAACAAACCAGAGTGTATCTGTTGGCCAAAAATGATGTGGCATTGCAGTGGCAACTACCAGCAGGTGCCAGGTACAACCAGACTGTTATCCAACCAGCTGGGGCTACAATATCAACCAATAACCAACGAGAGAGATGGTCAATACAAGCACCCCAAGTACTACAGTCTACTTAGATCTACTGTACTTACACGTCGCTTTTCGTATGTTGATGAAATGCTTGGGTATTATTGATTTGATTTGAATACTGTGGGGGTTAAGACCTAATCGGCTGCAAAGAGTAGCAACCGGCTGCGGAAGCCAAACCTTTATCTTCTTGGAACATGTATCTACATCATCCTTGGGCTTCTATGTGTGGTCGGGTCTCTGCATAAATGGCGTACATATGGATATAATATATATATATATAATATATATACACAACCTGTTCTTCTTCGACCGTTAAGTTTACGTGCTTCCAGCCAGGTAAGGACGTATTAAGGACGTTAATTTGTACTCGACGACTATTACTTTTTTGATCAGGGGTTGAAAGTGGTCGGGAAAAACCGTAGACACACCGTGGACAAACCGTGGACAAACCGTAGACAAACCGTAGAAAGGACATTTATTTCCGTAGAACAGACATTTCTTTCCATAGAACGACTATTAATTGCCGCAGAACCCAGGTAGCCAAAAACGCTTGAACATTGGATTTACAACCTGCAAACTAGATTTTGAATCAATAGCTTATAGTCTTTACCCAATTAATAGCCTTTGGCACCACGCACGTTAATGTTACGTGCTTTGGTATAGAGTATATGGATAATTAATTACATAACAATGTTCCTTGGATTCTGGGAAACAAATACCTTATGTATGATGTATCCTTATGTATCCTTATGTATCCCTGTGTTGGACACCCAAACATCTACAACTCCGGCCCCCAGGCCCCCCCTTTCGCCACGGCTCCTCCAAGGAGTTTTCCACTGACCGTCCTCCGCAGGGCGCCAGTTGCCGCTGAAGGGCCGTTGGCCTTGACCAAGTTCTTGACGGATGGCATGAAACATCTGCAGATCCTCCTGGTAACATCTGGTAACAAGGTATGGAAACAAGGTACTCACCAACCCATAACTTTCATCAGGATATTGGTACTCACCAACCCAATGGTACTCACCATCTGCAAGATTTCTCATCAGGTGCTTTTTTGAGTGCAGCCGTAACGACCACAATCCAATCTCTGGAACGCTGGGATGCAACTGCAAGGGATTCACCCAGATCCTTCGGGAAGGATTTCGTTGGAAGGATTTTTAAGCCCTGGATTGCGCAATACCATAGAAAAATGGCCATCGATATCTTAGATATCTTGGATCATCTAAGATGTTTCAGGGGATGAGAAATCGCAGCCCAAAAACGAACATGGTATCAATAGTCGTCCTCATTTTTGACAATCCCATATATCTTGGAAGGGTTGGGAAATCTCCTCAGAAAATCTCAGAAACCTTCAAAAGCCCTGGGGAAAACATCGCCACATAGTCCTCCTCACAGGCGAAGGCCGGTAGATGTTTGGTGCCCTTCTCCAAAATTTCAACGAACTCTGCAGGCATCACCTGGCCCTGGCCCTTCTGGCCCTCCTGGCACTCCGGCCTGGGTGGATCACCAGGCATCTCATGGCCGTGGTCCACGACCATTTACGCCATGTTTCATGATCTATCCCACACCGCTGTCATGTGATTATGTGAGATTATGTGAGATTATGTCATGAGATGTTAGACATGTCAACATGTCAGACAGGTCGAAACAGCCAAGGTGCTGGCTGCCCTGCAGCGCCAAGACTTTATGTCCCAGCTTGGTGCTGATCCAGCCCTCTGCAGGGCCGCTTCCACTTACGAGCCTACAGCCTCGGCAAATGAATGGGGGAGGGGCCCGGCAAAATCTGGAAATTGAGAGATCAATCCTGGAAGTTGAACAAGTAATTAATTGATGGATGTCGTTTTCCGATGTTTTCCGCCATTGCTGTGTTGAAAATCAATCCTGGAAGTAGTGCCCCTTTTGCTCCGGTTCCACATCTTAACCCTTACATGGCTTTCACACACTCCTAGCTGATTTTTTGGCCCCTCTGTCCATTCGGAGCTCGATTTTGGAAAGTGATTTCTGCAAGTCATGACTGTGACAAATATAACAAACTCATATATATATATGTTTACGTATATATGTAAAATACGTATTGCGATAGGTCCTAGTCTAGTATCATATAGTGATAGATAGTATCATATAGTGATACATCATATAGTGTGATACATATATATATACATATATATATATTGCCAGACCATAGATTATCCATATATTAACCATAGATTAACCATTAACCATAGATTAACCATAGATTATCCATATATTAACCATAGATTAACCATTAACCAAAGATTAACCATAGATTAACCATAGATTAATCATAGATTAATCATAGATTAACCATAGATTATCCATATATCCCCAGGGGCACTTAAATGTTCCAAAAGAATCCACGTTTTAAACGGGCCGCCTGTAGCGCAAGCGCTGGCCCTGCAGATCCAAGTGCTGCACCAAGGAATGCTGCGCCAGCCTGCCTTGCACCTCTGACTCCAAGCTCGCGCCTGTCGGACTGGGAAGAGTTGTGTCATGTTGTATCCTTACGTTGATTCAAAAAACGCTGATATATGCACAATACAATATATCTAACAATATATCTGTAGATATAATATAATATATATATATATATAATAATAATATATATATAATATATATATATACAAACATAGAGTAATTGAGTAAGCAATTGAGTACGTATATAGATATATTATGTGTCACATTAAAATTGATGAATGTTGCACTGGGTACTGCATCATCCTCTCAGGGATGGACTCAACGAAGTCACTGGACTCAGCACCAGCGTGTTATGGATTGACAACAGAAACGAACTAATTGGTGGGTTTAACCCCAAACAATATGGATAGACATATGGATAATCTATGGATAATCTATGGTAAATGTATAACGTATGGTTAATGATATCTCGTTTGGTGGTTGACCTACCCCTCTGAAAAATATGAAAGTCAGATTGGATCACTTTTGAACTATTGGGGAAAATAAAAGTCATGTTCCAAACCACCAACCAGGAACGGACCGACTGAGTTGTGATTCTTCCGTAATTTTTAGATCCCAGTCAACCCAGGGATCATCTATGCTTTTCCATCACAGTCTACCAATCTCAAACATCATGAATCCCTACACAATGTGCTCATCATGACCGGCGATCAAGGTAACTCTTGATCGCCGCAAAATACATCAACATACACACCAAAAGAAAAATATACCATCTGGTTATTTAACATAGCCATGGTATAGATGGCCCATAGAAATCGATGGTTTACCTATTAAAAATGGTGGATCTTTCCATGGCAAACTGTTAGTCATAACCAGATGGTATATTTTTCATAACCAGATGGTATATGTTTTTGTTTCACGTTGCAAACATGTTGATACGTCTTTGCTTGATCATACAAGGTGGTGCCCCCCAAGTTATAAGTTGGTTTATAACCCCATGAAAACTATAGATATACCACCAACAAAAACCATAGTTATTGGAGTTATTTGCACCAACTGAACGCTATCGAACGGGGGCACCGCTGCGCACCTTGCCGAACGAGAAGGCCATCTTTTTCGCCACCAATGATGTGCCACATGTGGAGCTGCCAGGATCATTCATGGGGAGGTCATGGAATCAAAGTCACTAACTTGATATGATATTTTCCACGATTTCCATGGCATATGTTTCCCATTATTGGTGAAACTTGATACAAGAGATTTCCCCAGATGCTCCATGGCCCATGGTGCTGGAATATGTCTCTACATTTGGATCACCCCTGGGGGGTGAAACAAAATATGGTGAAAATATGGAGAGCAAGCAGAGAGACGATCTGACTCCATATTTTCTGTGGCTGGAAGGATCGCAAACTTTCAAAGGACACATATATTTTTGGTATCATCCGGTCATGTTTATCAGGTGAATGTGGGCAGTTCAATGATGAGGTGTTCCCGTTCGGGACTTCACCTTCCAAGCAAAAAATGGCAGCGGAAACCACGTTGCTCTTCCCTGCAGTGATGCTACCCGTTACCCGTTAAAAAAGGGTAAGTTGAGAAAGGATTGGGATGCAAACCCTTTGACAGGGCACAATCCATGTACGAGTAGAAGGATTGTCACTATGAAACCATATGAAACCATCCGACTATACGATCATAGCTGTTAAGAAACTCTGCAGTGACATGCCGGTGTCATATCTTGACTCAACAAAGGACACACATATCAAATGTGTGATAGTTTCAGATCATACCGAAAACAGTTGTCAGTGGGGAAACACATCCCATGTATGGTAGACATTAGAAGAAAAACTTGTTCAGTACCAAACAGTAACACATCTCTTTGCATGGGGACAAAGGCGTGCTTTCCAAGTTTTGTGCAACGTTTCATCCTGTTTCTGGTTTCAATTTCGAAGCGGTTTTCATTTTGAGCGCATGGTTGGAACAACTCTTCCGATCAACGAAACAACTGCACAGCAATACCTGGGATCACTGGGATTAAAGGCCCCTTCTGATCCTGCTCTCATGGTTTTTTCAAGTTGATTCATCAAAATGCAACCTGGGTGCATCAAAATCCACTGATGAATCACCATTTTTCCCAATTGAATTGCCATAAACTAAGGATACCCCATTGTCAGACATACCCAAATCTACAGGAGACATCCGCAAACACAGATTTTGCATGGTTTCGCCACACCCAGCATACCCAACATCCATGATTTTCCCATGGTTTTCGTCTCCAAAACGACTCCCGGCGGCCGCAACTGGGTCCCCCCTACGCTGCAGCAGCCTTTGGTACCTTCTCCACCGATGTCTTCGGGAGGGGAGCCGCCTTTTCTGTGCACGCCGTGCGCAAAAGACTTGAGAAACAGACCATATTGCAGAGTGGAGGATACATGAGGATACCCTCTGGTAAACATACAAAAAGCTATGGAAAGATCCACCCAATCACCCATTTATAGCTGGGAAAAACCACTATTTCGACTGGGCCATTTTCCACGTCGCTTTTTGTATGTTTACCAGGGTGTATCCCGTCACCGGTCGCTTGGTCCTTTCAACCAGATTGCTGTCCATCGGTCCCGTGGCCCCAGGAAGACACCAAAAAGAGGCTGTAAAACAAGTCCTGCTTCCTCCGTTGTGGATGTACCTACTTGGTGGTTCATCCCACTTAGTAAATGGGTTATAACCCCAGTTATAAATGGGATAAGTAGGGTTAATCCACTTATAACTGGGGTTATAACCCACTTACTAAGTGGGATGAGCCACCAAGTAAGCCAAAATTATAGAGTTCCAATAATACGGTATACCCAAGATCCAGTGGCTCGTGGTAATTTTCCGACAATATCGAAAGGGCAATTCAAATGGGCATGTGTAATATCCCATTTCCGCATCATCTGGTCAAATTACTGCAGCTCATCCTGTTAAAATCCCAATTCTCAAAACAAGCCATCACATTCCCATGAAAATCTCCATTGTCGTTGGAAAAATATTCGCAAGGGAAAAATCCTCATTTTGCCGGGCAAATCTTCCGCCGAAGCTGTTTCCCCCATGACGCTCCAGGCACCGGAGAGGGAGCGGAAGCCGCCGCCACCGGTCGTGGACGATCGGTCAGAGGAGCACCCATTGTAGTACCTATATGCTCCCATTTTGCTGGAATCTTTCCCTACATTTGGGTCACTTAGATTCACTTAGGGCAAATATATGCAAATATTCCATGAAGAATTGAGGTACCTACGAGGCGGCATTGTCCTTTTAGAAGAGAGGGGACGGTTTGATATGGTTTATTATTACCATTTACATCCATTTACGTATATATTGGTTGGTTTTCATAGAGGGAACCCTGTATTCACAAACCAACCAGTGGGAAAAGTACGTCTATGCAAGGTGCCCCCCAATTCACTAGGTGAGTTCTATGGTTTTTGATATATCCAACTAGATACAGGAATGGGATGAACATACACCAACTTGTATCTGGGGGGATATTGGGGTGGGCCGAGCTTGTGTGATTGGATCCACTATCCAATATCCAATACGCAATGCTTTGTTACGGAAACACGGATCTATGATGGTAAGTCAGATACGTACATCACCGTGCATCATTGAGTCAGCATCATGTTCGGTGATCATCAACACACATCATTCATTGAGTCTGCATCAACAAACACGTGAATCGATTGTCAATGGATTTGTTCAAGGGAAATTTGTCAGGAAACCATTGTCTTTGACCGCTAAATACATGATTTTTCTGCAAGTTCTCCCTTTGACAATTTCTAAAGCTATCAATTTCTAAAGTTATCACAGCAAGACCGAAGGGTCAACTATGGTCAATTGAAATGAGAGCACCACCCGGGCACTACTGAATCGGGATCGATGCGAGATGGATGATATCTGATAGTGGTCAGTTTCACTAAGCCAGGTAAGGACATCCTTCAGGGCCTTCAGTTTCGAAAAAAATCGCATGAAAATATGCATCCATATATGCTCCATGTCTGCTACATTTACCTTTACCTACATGAAATCCTACATGCCTAGGTCATTTTTGGGGTACCCGGCCTGGTAAACGTTTACAAAAAACTATGGAAAGATCCACCACCATGTTTCATGGGTAAAATCCACTATTTCGACTGGGCCATTTTCCATGTCGCAAACTGTTAGTCATAACCAGGCCGGGTAACTATTATTAACCATAGATTATCCATATATTATCCATATTAACCATGGATTAACCATATATTTACCATATATTTACCATAACCAGGCCGGGTCAATGTTGGAACATCTTCCAGCACCATGGAGCCATAAAGCGCACTTGTTGGTACCAACCCTGTTTCACCGAGGTGCGGGACCCGGGGTGGTTTCGTTGCCATGACGATTCCTTGATCATAGGCTTACTAAATTATTAAATCTGATTAACTATAAAAAAAACATAAGTAGCGAATTCGTTGGTGATATATATATATATCTTCATTATTATTATTATAATTATTATTATCAGTATTATGATTATCATTATTACTATGATCATTACTATAACTATTATTATTATTATCATTATTATTATTTGTATATAGTATACATGATTTATATATATATATATATACAAATAATATTATATAACTTATATAAACCATAATTAAGTAGGGTATGTCATATATGATTCTTCGTAATATTTATGTAATATACCCATGAACGCTTCCTCGGTGACTTCCATGGCTTATCCTTAAAGGACAGATCCCGCCTGCTCGAGGTGCCTGAGGTGGGCGTCGCCGTGAGTACCAAGGAGGACGGAAACTTTTCCCAACTGGAGACATAGAGCCCTTACATTTATCTCTGGTTGGTGGAATACCTACCCCTCTGAAAAATATGAAAGTCAAATCTGATTAATGTTCCCAATATATATATATGAGAAAAAAATGTTTGAAACCACCAACCAGATCTAATTTCGTATTTTTTTTGAAAATTAGATATCCATACATCTCCTGAAATCAATCATAATATAAAATGTTGAAAGACAAAATGGTCCCCAAAGGTAATTCAAACTGTTGGAAATAGATGGAATAGCACGTGATTCGGATTCCAAGGTGCATTTCGCGCAAAGGGGAGTCACGACCAACGCATCACCACGGGAGATCAAAACTGTTTCACGGACTTGGACTATAGACTGGTTCGTGGTTGAGCCACCCCTCTGAAAAATATGAGTTCGTCAGTTGGAATGATTCTTCCCAATATATGGAAAGTCATAACAAATCATGTTCCAAACCACCAACCAGTAGATATGGGAGAACTTAATCATCAAGATGGGGATTCATGCAACGTTCAGAGAGTAAATCAGGACTTGTCTCAAGGACAAGTCAACTCTGAAGTGCACAGGCAGGATCCGTCTCGGATGAGACTTAACCATGACCCCTTGGCCCTTGGCCATTGCAACACCGGCAACTTTGGACAGTGGAGAAAAAATGAACGCATCGCATGTCTGGATGAGACATGACGGTGAGGGTGTCACAAGGATATAGTTTAGTAAATCGACAAGTACATGTAAACGGGCCTCCTTAGAAAACTTTAGAATCACTTGGCCACAGAGCGTTGGGGCATCTGAAGGAATGAAGCAATAGCAAGTGCAAGTACAACAAGTGCTAGAACCATATAAATTGATGCGGGTGTGGGTCACAACAGGTTACCCTAAACAATTGATAAACATTGGATGGTGAATACACAAAATGAACCGCTTCATCTGTGGTTCAATGGGTCTTAAACTAATATGTTGACCAATATCCCCTATCTCTATGGCCCACAAAAAGGCCCAGAACCGTCCAGAATGGCAACAAACCCCATGAGACAAGCATGGATCGATGCGAGTAGTTTCACCAACACATCCAAAAAAAGTGACACCTCATTTTACTGTACATCATTTAACATCTATATAACTTATGTGAAATCTCATAGCCTCATTCTACATCAACGAACATCTTTTAAACACGCCGCTTTAGGCCTAGGCTTCAACCAACCAACATCTCAAGACCAGTCGCTCCGCTTCGTGGCGACAACGCTGGAGAGGAGGGAGATGCAGCTCGGCCTGAACGGCTGGTGTGTACCCACCAAATTGCTGAGGAAAAACGACATGTT